CCGGTCGTTCGGCTCGACTTGCATCAGGCTTGAACACATGATGTCGGACGTCGTAGAACATCTTATGGACAGTCGTCTGAAGGCGAGTCAGTTCGTCCCTGGCATATGTGACTGCACTCTGACTGTCTCGGGAAAGATGGTGGCCCAACAACAACCGATCAGCTACTGGCAAATAGTTTCCTTTCGAAGCCCACGATAGCAAAGTGACTTTAAGCGAATGGCAACCTACACCATCCAGTGTGTCAGCTTTGAACCCTGAGGACAACAAAAACTCATGCAAGTATAAATAAGCCTCCCCGGTCGTCATACGCCTACGTGTTGCTGATCTCCGAATAAGCCGGCAATGATGGATCCAAACCCAACTGAGCCTTCTGCCTCTCCACGCTTGCCTCCCAAGAAAGCGCCCCAGGCTGAGCAATGGAAGGAGGCTCTTCTTGCGCTCTTCGGTGAGGCCAGTTTTGAACGATTTGGATTCAGCTTCAACCAACTCAAGAGATTCGTGGAAGGTCACCTCAAGCTTGTGAAGATGGATTGAATCACCAAAACGTGAACAACTGCCCAAACACAGAAGAAAATGTCCTGCAATGATCCTCCAATGTGGGTAGGGAGCAAAGTTGGCCACATTCTCCAAAGCCACAATCATCTTCACTGACAAAGGCGCCGCCTGTTGCAAGACACGTTTCTCACTCAGCATTGCCCGTGCAGCGCCCCGCACTCGTGATGAAAGAATATCCTCAAGTGGGTAGCCTAGCAGTCCAATCTGATGGCGCAGGAAGGTCCATGCTTGAAGAAAACTGGTTGCTGTCGTCGGTGCTCCGTGTTCCTTCAAAAACTGCATGTACCTGTACACTGTACTCTCAGAAGAACCAATGATGGCCCCCACTCTATTATCTTCACACCACGATTTGAAGCGCCACAGTGATGCTGACCTCTTGACCAATGTAGCTGTTGACTTGCCCTCAAAAGCATCATTGAAAGAACATTCCCATTGCTGTTCACTTTGTAAAAAGCGGACTGCAGACACCAGGCAACGTCCAAGCTTGCTACCATCAGGATCGTCAAGTACAATGGCCTTGAATTTCTTCAATGCCTCCCATTTCACCTGGTCGTCAGTCTTCATCATGCACGTCAACCTCAACCGCTTGGCTGCCAACAAGCTCACCGCCCCTGGTTCAGGCATTGGCGGACTAGCGCACTGGGGTGTCACCAGAGCCGGTACCAATCCAACAAAAGACGGCTTGAAGAACCTCGAAGTATCCATCCACTTAGCGGATGGCGCCTCCAATCCAGGAAAGGACATCAGCTTGATGGAATGACTTCTTTGAAGTTTCAACCAAGCATCGAAGATCGAAGGCTGCATGACCAAGCACGGAGATTGTTCTGGCAGTGGTACTCTCTGAGTTGCATGCATCTCAGAGGCGACAAGGAAATGACTACTGCTCGATTTGGTGTGTTCTCGAGTTTCGCTTGGTAACGATGCACCTCGTAAGAAGTCTTCCATGACATCCCTAGCATGTTCCGATAACTCCAGAGCATGTTCCGAAATCTCTCGAGCATGTTCTGATGACACCGACTTCACCTCCTCAAGGTCGGACGAGTCCATGTCCCCCGCGCCCCATGAAGATCAGAGAGTTATTTTTAAACCCTCCTCGCCCTCGCCAGCCAGTGCTGCGCGGGTTTAGATGAAAGTGAGGTCTAAGATTACATACACACGTATGCATGAGACCTTTTAGTTTTTCCCAAAGAAGGTAATTTTTCTTTTTGAAATTTTAAAGTATAGTAAAGTGAAGCACAAGCATATGAGTTGGTAAAAACGTTCATTGTACACAAGTACAAAGCACACAACTCACATACAAGTTTACACTAAACATTACAAAGGTGAGTTCAATACTCAAACCACTTACCCCGTGCTAAGATGCACTGTGAACACCGAAAAGACGGTTTGATCCCTTCCAGGGAGCTGCACCTTCACGGTGACCAATGGTGTCCCAGCTGGAGGCACCCCTGCTTGCCAAAGCAGTCCTCGCACCGGCCCTGCAACCATGGCAGCAAGCACACCCAGCCATTCACCTCTCTAGCTGGGTGGATGATGTTGGCTTCGACACCGCCAGTCGCACGCCACTCCAGGCAGCAAAGGACTCTGTTGCTGCGTATCGGGATCTTCACAGCAGACTGCTGCAACTTGGCCTCCAAGTCAATCCCAAGAAGACAGCCTTTGTTGCCACAGACAAAGCCACGGAGAAAGAACTTCGCGCTCTGTTGAAAGCAGATGAACCACAGGTGGCACCAGTCATGAGGGATCTGGGCATCGATCATCAGGCAGCCCGACAGAGGCGAATCCCGGTCATGAAACAGCGCATCAAGAAGGCCACAGCCCGCAAAGTCAAGCTGAGAAGTTTAAAAATTCCTGCACTTAAAGTTCGACTGAGACTGCACCGAGGGGGCATTCAGCCAGTGGCTTTGTGGGGTGTCGAAAGTCAGGGATTGGCACCACGCTACAGAGCAGCACTACTGGGCCACCACACAGGAGGGCTCCTCGATGTCACCTACGACATCCATGCCAAGCGCTACATCGATCCCAGTGACCAAGTCCTGATCCAGCACATCAAAGCCATCCACCACCTCATCCAAGCCTGGCCACCAGACCAGATCCAGGCCTTGGAGCAGGCATGGCGCCAGACCCACCAACAGCTCCAGGAGAAACAGTACCCCTGGTACACTGTGCGTGGGCCTCTTGCTGCCACCATTGTCCACCGCCTTGAATGGGGATGGCAACCATCAGAGCTACTTCATTGGACCAGGCCTGAAACCAAGCTGCTCCTTGCCCAAGAGTTGCACCTCCAGTCTCCATGGTTGCAACTAGAGCGCACCCTCACCCAGGAAGCCCAATGGCAACGGACTTCCAGGCTGGCCAGTAAACAGCACTACCAGAACCTGCTCACAGGATTGGACTGGCACACCTACCGACAAGTGCGCAAACAGTTCAAACAGCAGCAGCAGCACCACCTGGACACATGGGTACAAGCCGCCCTCCAATTTCCGTGATGCACACCAAACCAGGAGCTGCCCTTTGTGCGGAGTCCCTGCAACCCCGAAGCACATTCTTTGGTTGTGCGGGTGGCACAAAACACAAAGCCACGACCCAATGCCGCCAGAATGGATGAACAGGATCACCAGTCAAGAGGAAGAGCCCTTGTGGGCACATGGGTGGATTCCACTTGAACCACAAGAGACACGCACGCAAGAGCATCCTGTCCAAGGCCATGGATGTTGGGCTGGTCTGCCAATCATCCCTCTCCAACAACACAGCGGATGGGCCTTCACTTTGGATGCCACTCCATCCACGTATGACCTCAGAAGCCAAATGTGGATTTATGGCCTATGTGCACACACCATGGCACTGAGGCAACTAAAGTGCCTGGGTACGCTCACTGGAGCCCCCCAGGGCAGCCAGACCAAAGTCCGAGCACTCCTGACAGGACTTGTGACCCTTGCCAACCAAACTGCTGATCAGGTCAAGGTCATTGTGCAGCTCGCCATTGTTTGGGAGGCATATGGCACCACCCGAAGCACCGAGGCCCGTACATGGACATCCTTGCTGAAGTACCACCCCAGGACTTCCAACGAGTCACGGTACTTTACATCAGCAAGAACACCAGGACACCAGATGCACCAGCCAATGAGCCACAACTTCGAAAGCGGCAAAGGGACTCTGCCTTTGCTGCCTGGGAGCGGGCCAAAACCTTCTACGACGCCAAGCAAGAAGAATGGCAGGAGACCCTGGATCAGGACCACAAGCTGATCTATGAGCACGCAGTCAGTCGACTGAGCAAGATCTTTGCAGACAACATGCACTATGTGCACCAAAAGGCACCCAGGCACCAAGGAAAGCAAACCAAACAGTACAAAAAGGAGCTGGTGAATCGGCGCCGCAAACCGTGGGACGCCAACCACCACCACTGGGAGCCCCATCAACGAAGCGGCTATCAATGCCGCAGGTGCGGCATCAGAATGCACCAAACTCTCACAGCAGAAGTCTTGGAGGCAAGGTTGACAGAAGAGTGTCCACAGATGCAGATCGAGGAGGGGCCTAGCACTGCAGAACCCTCAGCACCACTGCCCAAGAAGCTCACCAGAGCACAACAAATCAAGGGCCTCCTGGGGCAACAACCGGGTCACCCAACACCCGGTCACCACCAGCTTGCCGAAACAACTGGCTACCTGAAATGCCTGGTCTGTGGCATCAACATCCACAAGAGAGTCAATGAAGAAGAACTTCATCCAGAGCACCTGCGTCAACCAGGCCTTCACAGCAGCCCATCAGGGGCACCCAAGCCATGCGCTTTGGCAAGTTGGAGAGAGGGTGAAATGCACTCAGTGTGGCACCCAATGGAATCTGGACGGCCAGCAACGCATCATAGCCACTCAAGCACTCCATAAACCGTGCAGAGGTGCCGGCACCAAGGGATCCACGCCAATCAACGAGTACTTCAAAAAGAAGGATTCCTCCAGCAGCCAAAGTCCAGAGACCGCACCACAAGCAACAGCACCCGCAGCAGCTCAGCCCACACCAAGGAGGCTCAGCTTTCAGACCGCCCTTGATGCCAAGGAACAAGAAGAACCCACAGCATGTCTGCTTTGGCCATGAACCCCAGCCGAACAGCAGACGATGAGCCAGATAACCAAGATGACCAACATGGCTATGCTGTGGAGTACTTCTGAAGCTGGCGACCTGCCCAAGGCCTTCTGAACTGTCTGAAGCCTAGCGCTGAGCCCGGACGGCCAAAGGCCCTCACCAACCGGCCAAAAAGGCTGAAACATAAGCAACTCTAGGAAAAAATACATACATACATACATACATACCTACCTACCTACCTACCTACCTACCATGACATACATATCATTACACACATACATACATACATACATACATACATACATACACAAATACGCCAAAGAGATCGTACCTCTCCTCGCGTCGCTGCATGCTGTCCAGATGCTGGCTGAAGTGGGCAATGTTGTTCTCCAGTCCCTGGACACTGTATGGAGCTGCCACGCCCTCGCTGGGGCATTGCCTAGAGGCCCGCCAAAGCGCGATTGAACAAAAGCAAAAACCATCCAAAAAGCAAGCCCTGACGTTGACAGAGATGACAAAAGAGAAGGCGCAAGTTTGTCAATCAGTTTGTCATCCATTTAACCCAGGTCCACCTCCACCGCGTGGGTTATTGGGCAGGGCGAAGAAACGGTACGCAGGAATCACAACGCGATGCATTGTCGAGCAGGAAACTCTAGACAAACAGTACGCGCTGGGGCTTTGTAGGTGTTATGACGTGAAGGAGCAGTACACGCTGGAGCATAGTGAAACAAGTCAATGTGTTGATGCAAGGTCAGAATGCCTATGGGCCTATTGCATGCCACTGGGTACAGGAAGTGTCGCAAATCAGGATTCAACAGGAAAACAAAGAATCTATGGGATCCTCGAGCCTGTGCAGGAATCCTGCCCCTTTCCTGCACCTGATCTTCACAAAAACGGGACCAGCACAAAAACCCCAGACTTTTACCATCTATGCCTCTACGCGGACACATTGAGATCTGCAATTTGCTTTACTTCATTGCGCGCTAAGTTGTGAAACATTTGAAAGCCTTGAATAAGAAGAAAAACACTAGATTATCACTATGTTTGAATGGGTTTGACAAATAATGACGCTGCCAACCTGTGACTACAGTCATCTAGATCGAGACCATTAGGGGATCAAAATCTAAAGCGCTCATATGCTTGAAGATATGTTCAAGCTTTGGAAGTAGGAATCGCACGGAGGATTCTGTACAATTTTGGTTCTTACTTCCCTCGATTATTCCCCTGTTTGATGTGTAGTCTGGACCCGGCTGTTGCATGTTCTCTATATAAAGCACATTTGCGTGTACGTGGGCGTGGCACGCCGTTTTCCAAACCAGGTTGAAGGTCCCCTCACAAATACCGGTAGGTTTGCAAAAATGTTTCGTGTCTGTGTGTGTGCGTTATTTGTTCTCGGGGTGAAGGTTGAGTGTGCCATGGGTTGGTTCGCTGCAGTAACGGATGCCACTGAAGGGTTTTTTCAACTGCTAAAATTGGTCAAACCTGAAAACAGCCCGAAAACGAAAAAAAACATTCCACTTAGCCGGTATCCGTGCCTATGAATCTCAACGTGCCACGAGCCAACTCCAAGGCAGACCAATTGAATCGGTTCAAAAATAGAGCAGGGCGGCAAAAACTGTGTTTGCAATCTTGCCAAGATGCTGAAAGGAACCTAAGTTTGCAAGTCGCGGTCGCAAGTCGCATGCACAGATTTGCCACTTATTGCCGGCAGTCCCGCGGGTGCTTATACAACATATTGCAACCAAATAGGAAAAACAGTTGTTTCTTGGAACGCCGCAATGGCCAAGGATAAAAAGGCACCTGCTCCACCCGGCTCTTCGTCTCCTCGTCTCGCTGCCCATCTGCTGCTAAGGAACTCATGCACATGTTGGCCATCGCCTGTGCACGTCAACAGCTGTAAGGGCGAACACGGCGAAGCCGAAGCACGATGAAACCAAAGACGGCACAATCAAGCATGTGGCGTTCTGCTTTAGGACTGGTGACATCCGGTTCCAATTTTACACCAATACGCCAACATAAGACCTGGCTGGCAGCCCAAGCTCCAAAGCGCACACTGCCATAGACATCTACCTACCTAAAAGCGGCGGCTTCCGAAAGCGCTTACTGCCATCAACACCTGGCAGCTACACCCTGCAGCGGCACCAAAACCCTGCCATTTTTCGGCCCGCATTCCGATCGCAACTTGCGCCTGCGCTGAAACCGGGCGCTGGTCGCAACCGCTCACCCTGTAAATCCTTGGGCTCTGCACCCCTGCGACTTCTTGGAGCCAGGCCAAGCTCTTACTTATTGCAGCCTCGCCGTGGTGCTTTGAGGCCAGCTCCGAAACCCTGGAACTCTGGAACCACGCGTTGGTCACAACTTTGGGTGGAAAGTGGAAATTTGTTATTCCTGCAAGTTGTGGCCCCTGGCATTGCGCGGCCAAAGTTCCAGCTTCAGCTGGCGACTTCAAGTATGCGCGGTGAGCCTTCTCGTTCAAAATGAGGTCTGGGACTTACGCCGGCCCAACGCTCTTTATGAAGGGCGGTTCACAACTCAAACACGACATTTTGCACACTGAAGTTGGCGAAGCACACGGTCTACGCATGATTGCTGGACATTGCGGCGGAAGGGCGGCGCAGCATCCACAAAAGAAAGCCTGCATCCACCACCTGAGTGGCTGAAAGCGATGCTGAAATCGCACTGTAGCCGTTGGCGTTTCTGATGTGAAGGCAAGTCGCCTGCTTTTAAGAGCCTTCTCATAGTCTCATAGGCCTCCGCAGTTTGATCCTGATCTTCACGAGCGCTATCGCACGCTATCGGTCACCTGTCACCCTGGAAAATATGTCTCAGCATGAACTTCTCAAGGCGCCATCCACCTCAAATAGAGTGGCTGGTGAAGAATTCAATCCGCGCGATGAGCTTGGTAATGGCACTGGGCCTGGGCACGGTTGAACAACCTAGAAAAATGATGATCTCGCCTGACCAGAAAGCATTGACATTGCCAGCCTGTCTCCGGACCCTCAAGGGCGGCTTTGATACCAGGAGCCGCACACACACACACACTAATCACATGGCTTTCAACTCCCGACCACCTCCCTAAGCTTGACGGGAACACCTTCTGCTAGCCATAAAACGCATTGGCACGCGGCCATCGCCTTTGCGGGACATTGCGAGACCACTGTCCACCGCAAGCCAGATTCAGGGCGCCCATCAGCAAAACTGCAGCCCTTCTAGGTCCCATCGTTCCCCCTGACTCACCGTCAGTCAAGGAAAACAATTGCTAGCAGCGGTTCCGTGTCAAAAGTGAACCACTTCTTGCTGCGCCTCGTCGCTCGTCAGCGTGACCGGCTATTCTATTCTGAGGACAAGTTCGTCAGTCAAGTGTGAAAGTGCATGGTAGCTCTTGTTGGTGCAATTGGCATCTCCGTTGCCATCTCCTTTTCCTGTCCTTCCCTGTCTCTCACGTCATGCTTTTCCGAAAATTTCCTGCAAGCCACCCTTGTTCAAGCGGTTCTTCGTCGCGAGCACCAACAGTCTTGGCCCAAGTCAGGGCGGTCCTGTTCATCAGCAAAATGTCCTTTTTCCCTTGTCTTTCTGCGCCCTTGGCTTCTCAAAGAACTCCTTCCTCCGTCGCACTTTGCTTGAACGTTTCCCTCCAACACCACTTGGTAACATGAAGTTATCAACTGAAATCTTGGTACAAAGCAAATCTCGGCGAAGCTCATTTGTTGCCTATTGCTGAAGAAGCCTTGCATTTCATATTGCAAATCTTCCGTAGGCCGTGTCTTTTTACTAGGGCTGTCCTTTGAGCCCTGATAACAAAAGCTTTCACAGTACACAAATATGTAATGGTTCTTACCCTTCACAAAGTCGATTTGATTTGATACGTTTAGAGATTAGAGGCTGAAGAAGTTTGCTTGTAATTGGTTTTCTTTCTTCTTGTTCTTCCTTCATTTTTTTAGCACAAACTGATGAGTACACATAGGCCCAATACGCTTCCAGCAGCGGCCTGATCTACAAAGTTGATGAATACACATCGTCCTCCCCAGCCTTCACTCACGTCCTGGGTCCAAAGACGGCATGCTCGCGATCAATCCTGTCATATCCTGTTTGGCTTTGTTGCCCAAGTTGCGGGAGGCATGTAAAAGAAGTTGTAGGTGCCAATGAAACCCCAAGAGTCCAACTGGCGCCTGTTCGGTGTCAAGAGCGAATCTGCTCCACGCTTCAGAAGCCATGGGTTTCAACATTCTACGTGAATTCCGAGCGAGCGCATCCTTCTTGCCTGAAACTTTCAGCATCCGTTTGCTCCGGAATCTGAGAGATCATCAAGGTGGTGATGCCCATCATTGGCATCAAACTCGGAATGCCGGGATGATGCAAGGACAAGCACACTGCAAGGGTTTGCTGAGGCTTTGTAGAACTTGGGGCATGCCTGTTACTCCCACTGCAAGAACTGCATTCCCGCTTCATGCCTCCCTAGGACCTGCTTGCTCAAGTTGCTGATGCTACCTGCGTATTGCTAGGCGTCCCGCTTTTGGTCCAGTTCCTCCAGCACTTCAAGCGGTGGAAGCACAAAACATAAACCCATGCGCAGTCAATTCTTGACGCCTGCATCCGGCGCGATGAATCAAAGCTAGAACTCCCTGACCTGAACGGCGCAAACACTATAAAATGACCGCCCTGCTGCACCTGACTCACTTGTATCATACCACCCATGCTCTCCAAGGCACATTGGAGCGGGGAAAGCCTGCGGCAGAACAGAACATACACACCCACCGACAACCCATGCGTCGCGCAAAGTCTTCTTCCCGGCGAATTGTCTGACTCCAAGTTAAACAGTTGGAGTGTCCAGTACTGAATGTTAAACCTTCCAGTTTCAACTACCCTCGCTGGCCTCTGCATCTTTCCTGAACGCGGCACAGCTGGGCATGGCTAGAGATGGTTGGGCGGCTACTTTGTTTTCTGCAGCACTGAGGCCATAGCCGCAACTCGGAACTTGGCCGGGTTGTTGCCTCCATTGACTCGGGGTCCTCCTGCAAGAAAACAACAAATTTCGCACATCGAAGGTTTTGGTTTGTTCCAAACATTTAGTATGCCTGTGTATGCCCTGAAAGTTTTTGACCCAACATGTGCTGGTCGCATTTCTGAGCGCGCTGAGTTTGGTTTCTGTAAGATCTTTAAGTTTGGATGCAGTGCAATCCCTGTCGGCATTCGTGCTCACTGAGTTGTCTTTTGGCTGTTGTGCTCACTGAGTCCTTTATTTTGAGCATCGCAAACATAAATTCTTTCGGCCAAATAATGCTTTAGGAATACCAAGGAGGGTCCAAAAGTTGACTATTTTAGAAGTGCTCAACTCTGGGGTTGCGTGTTCTCTGCCAGTCTGGGCTGCCTCGGGAGAGTGAAAATATACATTGCATAAGTAGCTTTTGCGGCCGTGGACTCGCACATGCCCCGTGAAAGCACTCCATTCTGCACGGCCCTCGGTTACTGTCAAGAAAGATTGCTTCATCTCCAAGCTCATGCGATGTGCCTAGTGCTACGGCTGTACCCAACGTGACCTATTCAAACCATGCCACGTGAGCTCACACTTCGGCTTAGGGGGCGCTCTCAGGGTAGGTCCGGGCAAAGACTTGGCGTGCAAGAGGAGGTGATGGGGCAACATCGGGCAAAGAGTAATGTTGTGGGGCGAAGCTGACATCGCAGCCACACCGAAGGGGTAGAAATACAAAGTAGAAGACATAGGGTCTGGGGGGGGTGCCCTTTTTCGCTCTGCTTCCGGGAGGAGTTGGAGGTGAAAAAGGGCACCCCTCAAGAAGTGAGGCGCGCTTGCCGGCGGCGTGTTGCGAATCAGTGAGCAGAGACGGCGGTGGGGGTTCATGTGCGAGGCAATGGGTAGGGTAGGTGAGGAGATAGTTATTTATAAAATGTGTGTATAGGTAGAGTGGACAAAGAGCAGCCGGAAGGGGTGAGGTTGATATTGGAGCGACTGGAGTGTGTAAGATGAAGTGGTAGGCTAACATTATGGATGAAGTTGGCATCGCAGGTACGCGAGAGGAGGTAGAAACAGATGGTAGAAGTAAAACGGGTGGTGCTCTTTTTCGTCAGGTGAAAAAGGGCACCCTCAAAGATTTTATGTGAGTTCGTCAGCTGCGTGTTGGTAATGAGTGACCAGAGACAGTCGTGGGCGATGCTATCGGTAGGCTTCCTGAGGACACACATATACATATATATATATACATATATATATATATGTATGGAGAGTGGACAAAGAGGAGCTGGAAGTGGTGAAGTGGATATGGCTGTCAGTCGAAAAGAATGGAAAGAGATAGTAGAATACAGACTGGGGAAGGTTGGGTATGGTGTGTTGGTCTATGTTTTACGTTTTAAGTGAGTTGACTGATTAGATATCCCCTTGTTCTCATGTAAGCTTGGAATGTAGCAACAGCTGGCCACTTCAAATGGCGCCAAACTGCTAACCTCTGTGGTAGGATGCAACGTGGAATGTCATAAGTACAAAATAGTTGAATAATTGTATGAGATGACACATATGAATACATGTGACTGGTACAGCAAGGAGATTGTAGAAATTCAAGACGATGGTCCATGTCCACGTCATTTTCCGGACGCTTGCACAGCCCGTGCAGGGCGACGCAGTGTTGCACAGTGGCCCGACGAAGCACGAGTTGGATTGAAATCCGTACATAGAGGGTGCACCCCGTCTACGGCCCATTGAGCATATCAACAATCAATCACAGCCTATGGCTCAAGGCATCTGAGCCAAAGATCACTAGAATGTACTTGAAATTGAGTGGTACCTTTCCTGGCAAAGGCAGGTGGCAAGTTTCACGATTAGGGCGGATGCACCTTTGTTATTAAGGGCCTGCGAGAGAACCGGATTGAAGAGAGCACTCCCTATGTGGTAGGGTTGGGGGCAGGGGCGTCGGAGACAAAAGGTTCTGACTTCCGTAGCAAGGTCTAGTTGCTGGACTGAAAAGGGCACCCCACATGGGGCGCATGATGCCATCTGTTCAGGCATCTGCGAGAGAACCGAACGGAAGAGGCCACACCCTATCTGGTGGGAGTTCACGTGGCTTGGGGGGTTAGGGCAGGAGAGAGACGCGATTGCACTGGGCAAGCGTTGGAGAATAGCTTAGGGGTGTCCTTTTTTGTCCGTAGCAAGGTCGAGTTGCTGGACTGGCAAGCTCACCCCACATGGGGTGCATGATGCCATGTGTTGAAGGCCTGCGAGAGAACCCGACTGAAGAGGGCACTCCGGGGTGCCCTTTTTTATCCGTAGCAAGATCTAGTTGCTGGACTGAAAAGGGCACCCCACATGGGGCGCATGATGCCATCTGTTCAGGGCCTGCGAGAGAACGGAACTGAAGAGCTTTTGTCCGTGGCAAGGTCGAGTTGCTGGACTGTCAAGCTCACCCGAAATGGGGCGCAGGATGCCATCTCTATGTGGTGGGGTTGGGGGCAGGAGAGAGAAGCGATTGCAGCGGGCTCTGAATAGCGTAGGGGTGCCCTTTTTTGCCCGTAGCAAGGTCTAGTTGCTGGACTGAAAAGGGCACCCCACATGGGGTGCATGATGCTATTTGTTCAGGGCCTGCGAGGGAACCGGACTGAAGAGGGCACTCCCCATGTGGTGGGAGTTCACGTCGAATCGGGGGTTGTTGAAGGCACGAGAGAGGAGATGGCAGCGAGCAAGCGTTGGAGGCGGAGCCATTCACGTGAACTCCGACCGCATACGGGGTGCCCTCTTCAGGCCGACAGCAACGCCAGTTCTCTTTCCATGGCCTCCTGAGCCCCTCGTGATGCTGATGATGCACTCTTCGCCGTCAATTACATCACCGGCATCATATCACCCCTCAAGCCACTCATTTTTCACTACCAAGTGGCCCGCCTCTTTTTGTCGCTCTCCCACACCAGGCTCTGGGTTCACCCCTCCAAAAAGTAGAAACCACGCAACCACCCCCCCCCACATCCCCTTTACTTACTTCGTTCGCTCCAACAACCTCAATCAAGCCCAGCCTACCGGCTGGCTTTCGTGATATATATATATATATAAAATATATATCCTCTCACGCGTCATAGTCTCTAGACATGTCTGGATCAAACAAAGTCAGCTTCTTTTCCGGACATGGAAGAACCCTTCCAAAGATATTTAT